TAGGAGCCCCTAAACCTCAATCCCCAAATCCTGAACCCTAAACCCTAGACCCTTAACCCTAAACCCTAAACCCCTAAACCCTAAACCCTAAACCCTAAACCCTAAACCCAAAACCCGAACCCCAAAACCCGAAATCCAATACCGGAACCCCAAAACCCGAATCCCAAAACCCGAAATCCAAAACCGGAACCCTAAACTCTGCACCCATTCAGCTACTAGGATTCGGAGGCCCAGAGGAGATCCTGACTTAGAGAACGGCAGAGTCTAGAGGCTCAGGCTCCGAAACCCCCAAACTCGTACTGATAATGCTAGGGGTTTAGGGGTTCAGGGTTTAGGGTTCAGGGTTTAGGGTTCAGGATAATGAAAATAGTAAGACTAATATCGTAATTCAAATGACATTAGTCAGAGAGTAGTGATAAAATAAGGCAGCAGTATGGAATACAATGACGAGAACAATAGAAATATCGATTGTTGTTGTGTGTTCTTCTGATGCTATACAGCTTAAGTACTAATGTCTTAACAATGATGCAGTAATCTGTAAACAGTCGTAGTCAAGTACAGAACCTGACCAAATGAAGTCCAAGGCTACGAAGGCAGATTATATAGGGGGTCGGAACAATAAGTAGCCCCCTTCGCTTAGAGTTCCTGAACATTATGATGCCATGATGTCACCCCGAAGCCCTATTCTAACTTTTACGGCTCCGAAACCCTATCCTAACCATGAAGACTCCAGTCTTATAATGCAAACCAATTGCCTGAAATCTGTCTGCCCCTTTTTTGCTGCATTCGCTCAGAAAAATGCGGACCACGCCAATGCGAAGGCTTTCGGATTGGTTCGGGTTGAGGCTAAAGCAATGCATCTCCTGAAAGTCGCCGATAGGGCAGTTGTAGCATCGTCTTGCCTGTAGCATCGTGTTGCTCCAGGCTCTCCACAGCAATACTGGAAGAAACAGCGGATCCAGCAAGGCCAGGTAAGCTTTCCGAGATGCCGCCTTGGACGGCCTGTCTGCCTGTCTATGGAACACTAGCCATGCTCCCTCTCTCAGCGTCGAGCTCTACATCTTCATCCTGAAACAAGACCTCTGGGATGACGTCGCCGTCCTCCAGCAGCTTGGCCCTTTGGGCACAGTAGCACGAGCGAGCGCAGTTCACCCAATGCAAGCATCGAGGTCTCAAAGCAGTGCCCAAACGCTCGCAGTAGTAGCCTTTCTCGCAGGGATGACCCTTGTACTTGTTGGATGCATCGCACTTCACCTGCAGGCGAATGAGACCTACGTGAAACCCTAAACCCTAAAGCCGCGAGGGGATGACCAAGCCTGACCCGATGTCTGAAATTCTTTAGTGGAGGGGTGCCTGATGTCGTGGCTCAATGCATTGAGAAAAAGGCACGAACTCAAATCCACCAGCCTGATGCTGGTACTGCTACTAGTACCCGCAGAGCTGCTGCTGATACAACTGCTACTGTGCCGACGAAGACGAGTGCTACTACGCTACAGCTAGCTGTTGCTGCTGCCACTGATACTCCCCGTCCTACTGCTCTCCTCCTCCTCCTCCTCCTCCTCCTCTACCACTACGACGACGACTACTAAGCTGTCAAGCTACCACGCAACTACTGCTAAACTACTACTGACGGGGATGTGTGGTTTGGGGCTTCAAGGTTTGACGGTTGCTGTTTCACGGTTTAGGCTTTGCTATACTTGGCTGACTTCTGAAACCCTCCAAAAAGCTGAACCTTTCGTCTCCTCATTATAGTTGATATAGAAAGCCAAAAAAGTTAAAGTCCCAAGAGCCAACCTGCGGAACACCAAGTATCAAAATGCCGGCCTTGGAACAAGGGACGTCAAACATCTTAACCGTGATCACACAATGATTTAGGGCTTAGGGTTTAGGGTTCAGAGTCGTCTTAACCGTGGTCACAGACTGGGAACTTCATAGGGGTTTCCGAAAATAGGGGGGGCCCTAGTCTAGTACCCAAAATAGTAGGATCCTTAAAACAAGGACCCCCCACAATAAGAAACTCTAGACCCTAAACCCTAAACCCTAAACGCAAAACCCTAAACCCTAAACCCCTAAACCCCTAAACCCTAAACCCTAAACCCCTTGTTTTCGGAAACTCCCACGTAGTGCTCGCAACTTGCATCGCCGACAGGAGCTGCCGCTGTTCGTCCACGGAACCTTGTGTCTTCCCCTTATAGGGTTCCTTTAAGGGTGCCTTCAAGGGTTCCTTCAAGGGTTCCTTTAAGGGTGCCTTCAAGGGTGCCTTCAAGGGTTCCTTTAGGGTTCCTTTAAGGGTTCCTTTAAGGGTCCCTTTAGGGGTTCCTTTAAGGGTTCCTTTAAGGGTTCCTTTAAGGGTGCCTTCAAGGGTTCCTTTAAGGGTTCCTTTAAGGGTGCCTTTAAGGGTAGCTTTAAGGGTTCCTTTAGGGTTCCTTTAAGGGTTCCTTTAAGGGTCCCTTTAAGGGTTCCGTCAAGGGTTTATTTCAGGGTTCCGTTTAAGGGTTCCTTTAAGGGTCCATGACTTTCAGGTTTAGGGCTTACCTGGGGTTTAGGGTTTAGGGTTTCATGTGCCCAAACAGTATATGCTTTGGCCCGCAAAGTACATACACAAGGACTACTCTAAGGCCAAAGTATATACTAGTTGGGCACACGGACCCTTAAGGTTCAGACGTTTCGACTCAAGCTTAAGGGGCTACCACTCCAAAGCCCCTGAACTAAGGAGTATATGCCTTAAGTCAGACGAAGCCTCCCTTGGAGCCTAAGGCTGGGTGTTCTCGCAAGCATCGAAGACTACCCCCTACATCATACACCCTCAAAGATCCTAAAGCGGAAACCCTGACCCTGAACACTAGACTCACTAGCCCTATAACACCCTCGACGCACCCTATGTACCCCTCAAGCTGAAGCCCAAGTCCTGGCTGGTAGGAGATGCAGACAGTCGAGAGTAGACGTTAGGCATCTGAAGAGCTTAGAGGGTTTCAGAGCTTAGGGTTCGCATGCGCGTCTTAGATGAAGGGTGTGGGGATTCGGGTTGCATGTCTTCGCGATTTGGCATCTTCGGGCCATTCAAGGTTAAAGTGGATAGTAGGAAATGGGGGAATGAGTTATTGGGACTCCCAAATTTAGACATATTCAGGCAGCCCTGATCCCTGAACTGGAAGCCAAAGGCACTGCATGAGCTCGATGGCACAGGAAGTGCTTGTGCAGCTGTCCTCCGTGAACAGACTTTATGGTGTCGGGTCGGAGGTTTAGGGTTTAGGGTTTAGGGCCTAGGACTTCGCCCTCAACCTCCAATCAATGAAGTTGCAGACCTCGGTGGCTCAATTCCATAATTCCAATAGTGGAAGCAAGCCGAGAGACCCCGACAGTTCCTATATAAATCCTACAGCCTCCACTTCAAGCCCTAAGCGCCACAATGTGGACCCTAAACAGCCCCAGACTGTGGGCACAAAACGCGAACAAGGAAGCAAGCCAGACCAACACAAAGAAGAGTGTGAACATTTAGCCTAGGGTCTTCGGAGGATACTTTATAGTATAAGGATATAGAGCGGACCCTAAGGACTAGTCACCGGAAATAATTCGGGTTCGTTCCGAGGTTTGCATACATCCTTCTAGGGCCTGAGGCCCCAACGCAAGGGCTTTAAGAATCAGACGATGGTCTTTATATGGGTTCTATAAAGGGTGCTATAAGGTAGTTTCCTAAAATTAGGGTACCTTATTTTGGGGATCCTTATAAGAAGCATCCTATTAATTAGGGTACTATATTAGGGTCCCCTATTTTTGGAAACATCCATAAGGAGCCCATAAGGGTTCTGAGGCTCATACTCGAAGGTCCTGGGGGGAAAAGGAGCCCAACCCGGCATAACTATCGACCCTACGTTTGGGACTTCATGCCCGGACTTGGGTTTGGGGTGACATTCTGTCATACTTGTTTACCCATAGGCCCCATAGTAGTTCCTTTTTGGGATTCCCTAACAGGATTCTAAATATGAGCCCCAAAAAGAACTACTTTAGGGCCTATGGGTCAGGCCTGCGGCGACACTATTGCTACTCAGCCCGACCCCGCCATAATTTCGACCATGGGCCCTGAACGCGAACAATTTGAAACAATGAACGGTCTACAGCCTAAACTCTAGACACCTACGACCTGCGCATGACCGTGATCCTCAAAGCATAGACCTTGAAACTCAAACTTGCACCCTGGACCTCAAACACTCCGGTGTAGGCTTTATAGGGGCATAGCATATGACATATGAAAGCCCGTGCCTCAATATAATATATACAGTGAAAATCAGGTTTGTAGGCAATATAACATACTAAAAATGAAAGAGGTGCCTCAAGGAACAGCATTGCAAATTATTCAGGCTCCAACAGTCGAGCCAAAACTCAGGCTGCATGCTTGCGAGTCACTTGATTCAAGGCAATTGCCCCATCATCATCTACCAAAGCGGCCACGCGTGCTGTCCTGGGTGTCGTGGGCTAGAGGAGTTCGCTTGCGTTGGGGCGAGCATGAGGTTCGGGCACATGGTAAGTTTGGTCGTAAGACTGGCGCATCCTCAAAATTGATGTCATTCAAGCTCTAGGTTCCCCAGTGGCCCCTTAATAATAAGGGTACCCTTTTTCCTACTGTTTGGTTTCAATAAGGGAACCCAAAAAGAAAAAAGTGCAAAAGGGTACTACTGGGGAACCTAGGATGTCACTCAAGCTTTCCGGCATATGGACCTCCGGCTCAGGACCACCCAAAAGCTGGACAGCTCAATCTACATACCCCAAATTCAAGTTTGGGAGATATACTCTAAACGCCGAACGAGAAACCCCATAATGTACGGGTCTCAAAAAGTAGAATAGAATTTGGGTTCATGTATTAGTACAGTTATAATAAGGAACCCTAAGGAAATTAGGCTTCTACATTGAAGCCTCAACTTTTGGGTGTTGGAAACAACAGGAAGGGTCGCTGGTGAGTCTCTTGAGGAGTTCTCAGACGAAGCAACCTGCCAACTCTAAACCCCAAAACCTCTAAAACCCTAGTGTAGAAGCCTAAAGAATTACCACCATTAGGGCTCCTTGTTTTTATTAAAGTAGTTAGGAGCCCACAACCCTATTCTAATCATTACGGCCCCTACATGAAACCTCTAGCCCGCAAGCCGGCAGCCCTAAAGCCTAAAACTGTAAACCCTAATGCCTTAAGGCTGCATGTTGCAAGACCCAGCACCGCAAGATCCGCCAGTTTTATACCCCAACGGTTCACACCATTCAACCTAGGCTTCTATAGAACAAGCAATGATGGATCGGCCGGCCATGTGCTTAACACGTCGCAGCCAACACACTGCCGGCACTGTGGCCACTACAGAAGAGATAGTATAGGGGATTTAATTCACAAACAGTTTGTTGGCGGGGTTACTAGTTGTGATTGTAGTATAATGGGCTCAAAACCTTATTCTAAGTAGTTTAAGGCACCTTTATTATCCCAGCAACCTCTCACAGGCGAGGAGCAGGAGCCAACACGCTGCGATGCGAAATGCCATGGCCGCGTCCTGTTCCCCGAGAGTATAACCTAGGACTTTCTCCTATAGGCTTGTATTTAGGGTTTAGGGTTTAGGGTATGGGGTTTAGGGTTCATATGTCATATGTGCTACCTTTAGAAGTCACACTCATGCGACGGTGGTTGGGGTGTGTGCACAGAAGACATGCGCACAGAAGACACGCGCTCCTGGCGCTTGGGTTTTGGCGTTTAGGTTGATGGCTTGGAGCTCCAGGATTCCGCCTCAGTAGGTTCAAACTACTTAGACTAGGTTCCCCAGTAGCCCCTTAATAATAAGGGTACCCTTTTTCCTACTGTTTGGTTTCAATAAGGGAACCCAAAAAGAAAAAGGGCAAAAGGGTACTACTGGGGAACCTAGTAGATTTTGTCCTGAAGGATCGCCAAGACATTGAGTTCGACAGTGTAACATCAACCCCTGATCCTTAACCTCCAAACCTTAGGCCCCAACAGGTGATAGCAGTGCTTTATTACATAACCCGAAATCTTGGGGCTTAGGGAATTGAGGGTGGAAGGCTTGAGTAGGATCTTCTGGGCTCCTATGCATTATGGTAACGAAGCTTTCACTAAACTCCGTCGAAGACACAGCCCTAATTACTGGTATCAGGTTTAGGGTTTAGGGCTCAGGGTTTATAGGATTTAGGGCTTTTGTGGGACCTGGTATCAGGCTTAGGCTTTAGGGTACAGGGTTTATAGGACTTAGGGTTTTTGTGGGACCCAA